AATTGGTATTATACATGATGCATAAGCACACGCAACGGCGCGAGACGGATGCGTGGCCACGCCTGAATACATGCGCACGATGGCAGTGGCACGCCGCGAGGGAAGGGGCTGCGAGGGCAAAAGGGCGCCAGGGGATGCAGAACCATAAAAAAACAAACAAACGCAAAAAGCAAAAAAAAAGGAAAGAAAACCGTCAGTGCAACGTCGGAAAAAAAACATAACACACACATGCACACACACGCAAAAAATAATAATAACAACAATAATAATAAAGAGCGGCACGCTCGAGTTTTGCATGCGTTGTGTGTGGCCCCATTTCACCTCCCAGTTCCCGTCAGTAAAGTCCCCTACCCACTCCGCGCCCAACCTCTTTTTTTTCCCTCCCTCCCCCCCACCCCTCACCCAATTGTGCATCCAACCATTCGTTTTTCCTCGCCGCGCTCTCTTGCCAGCTTTCCTCGCCAGTTCCCCCTCGCTCTCTCTCACTCTCGCTGTTTCCTTTCCTTTTTCCACGCTGCCCCAGTATGCCCGTGGAAACGAAACTTCCGCCGCCGCAAGAGCAACAAGCAGGCAGATGAATACAAAAAAAACCACACTTATGCCGCGACGTCAGTTGTATATGTATATATATATATACGTCTGTGTGGTGCCAAGGAGGGGGGGAAAAAGTTCGCGCGTCCCACCACCCCTCGCCTAGCAAGCAGGCAGGAACGAAGGGCCAAAAAAAAAGGAAAAAGAGAAAAACTAGGTTACATGTATTGATCCAGATGCTCGTAGAGGTTGGCGCGGCAGCGCTCAATGAGTACGTCAAAGGCGGCGTCTTGCTTGAACGTCGCGCATGACTTGTACGTAAACACCGCGACGTCAAACTCGTTGAGGGAGCCGTGGTCGTTTGCCTCGATGATGTGCCGTACGAGGGCGTACTCTTTCCCCTGCTGGAAGTTCTTTTCCTCCTCTTGCAGGGCGTCAAACTTCTTGCGTGTGATGTACAGCGCATCAAAGTAGCGGTCCTCGTTGCCGCAGCCGTCGGCAAGCAGACACAGCAAACAGTAGAGAAACTGCCGCGTCTTTGGGAGGGACCTCTGCACCATCTTTGCCTCCTCCAGGTACAACTCCGCCGCCTCCGTGAAGCGCATCTGCGTGACCGTCAGCGCGCAGATGCGTTCCATGCAGCTGCGGGAGAAGGACTTTGTGACGGGGCGGGTGCCGAACAGCTGCATTGCCGCCTTGTACGCCTCAATCGCCTGGGCAGGCATATCGAGGCGGTACTCCAACAGCTCCGCCGCCTCCCGCTTACAACGCGCCGCCTGAATGATGAGGCCGCTCTTTGCGAAGGAGGCGGAAAGAAAGTTCAGCACCTCCACAGCGCAGGCGGGGTGTACCACTTGCAGATTATCCGCCGCCATGGACAGCATCGAGATCGTCTCGCCCTCGTTCTTGAACGCGTCAGCGATGACGCTTGCGTGCAGGAATGCCCTGGCAGCCGAATCCGCGTGGCCGCAGGTGCCAAAGAGCGCACCCGCCTCGAAGAAGAGGTCGCGGGCGCGGAGCCAGTCGTTGCACAAGGGGAGACCGTTCGCTACACTTGCCGCCGCTTTTTCGTACATCTTCTGCGCCTCTTCAAGCTTGGCGGTGGCGGCGCTTACGGCGGTGTCGTAGCTGCTGTTCGTCTCGCTGCCGTCGCTGTTGGTCCAGGACTCGCGCGCGGCGTCGTGTGCGTTGTCAGCGGCACACGCGACGGGGAGCTCCGGCGCCGCCTCCTGCGGCGCCTGCCTGTCAGCAGCCTTGCACGCGACGGCCGGCTGCGCCGCATCCGCCTTGCACGACGCGGAGTTGCCGTCCCCCGTCGAGGCCGCTCCACTATCTGCAGCAACGGCAGCAACAGTCACGGCTGGGTGGTTTTCCTCTTGCGAAGTCATGCTTTAGCCCTTATTTCTTTTTTGTTGTTGTTGTTGTTGTTATTTTCTTTTCGTATTAATGTTATCCCTGTTTTTGGCGCTGTTGCCGCTGTATTTTCCCCTTCCTCGTCTCAGCTTGCGGCTTCCTACACGTGCGCGTGTGTGCCTTTTAGCGTTTTGCTCTTCTGCCTGGCTCAGAATCCCACGCACAGAGAGAGAGAGAGAAGAGAGAAGAGAGGAGGAGGAGGAGGAGGAGGCGGAGGTGGACAAAAGCGGCAGCGGAGGGAGATTTGGGGCTTTTGTGTGTGTGTGGGGGGGGGGGGGGGGCAGCGCCAATCAGCGAGAAGGCCAGTCATATGATGATGTTATGCGGCGCAGTGGCGAGTGTCCGGCCACCCGGCAGAGCGCCAGGCGTCAGTTGTTGTTGTTGTTTTTTTGTCGTGTGTGTGTGTGGCTTTTCTTTTCTTTCCGCTTTCTCGCGCCGCCTGTGCGAGCCTGTGCGCCTGTTCGCTCGCCTGCTTGCAACAGTGCCGCGGCCCACGGCCCCCGGCCCATTATTAGCGACGCTTACGCCTCGCCGCCCCGCACTTCGTTAACCGCCGCCGCCCCCCCCGGCCTCACTCCAGGGGGACGTTGCAGTTGCGAAAAAAGGCGAAGAGGGAACCCGCGGCTCGCTCGGCCAACGCGATCATGCCAGCCAGCTCCTTGGAGGAAACTCCGCCGCCGTACGCCGCCGATCGCGGACACGCCCGCAGCTGGCTCGCCAACACACCCCCGCCACAGCCGTCGCCACCGTCCGCCGAGCTCGAGAGCAGAAACGTGGCGGTGGCGCGTGTGCGCACCCCGTCGCCCTCCTCCTCTACGCGTGTGGGGTCGAGAAGCAGCAGCAGCGGTGCGGCGGACGCCTCGGCGGCGGCTGCGCCTGTTGTTTGCTCAGGGCCCTCTGCCGCACACGCGGCGATGCTCACGGCGGCCACCGTCGTGCGGCACGGCACGCCGGCGTCCAGCAGCGCACACATGAGGGCATTCGCCGCCACCGAAAGAAGTGCGCCGTCGTCTGCGAGCACCGTGACGTGGGCCTCCAGCACGCAGCGCGGGAACTGCTCGAGGCGCACCACGGCCTCCAGAGAAGCGGCGAGAAACGCCTCCACAGCGGCGTCCGCGCGGCGCTGCTCCACGCGCTGCTCCTCCACGCAGAGTTGCTCGGCGCCGCCGGCGCGCGGCAGGCGCGCGGCGCGGCTGACGTAAACCTGCACGCCGCACCTGCGGTAGTCATCCTGCCGCGCCGCAACTGGGCCGTTGACGGCGACGACGACGGTGGTGAGGCCCTGCGAATACCAGGCAGAGCCGTCAAATTGCGTGAGCTCGGAGGTCCGCAGCTCCTTTCCACGCATCTCGCGCGGCCCACGCCCATCGCGCCGCTGCGAGGCTGTTGACATCGACTTGCACCGACACTCCCCACACAAGTGCGAAGCACAACCCACGAAAAAAAAAGCGCCAAAGAGAGAGGGAGAGAGACGCACAATAGACGGGCGGGAAGGAGGCAGAGAGGCGGGAGGGAGGGGGATAACCCACAAAACCGCACGGCTCGGGCCCGCGTACAATGACGTACGGCTCAGATCCAGAATATATGCACATAAATAAATGTTGATGCACTACTTCCTCCCCAGTCGCATTGACTGGCAAATTACGAAAAAGAACAAGAGACAAAACTCCACATAATCAACAAACGATAGTGAAAATGGGGAAGAAGCGACGTGCGTTTCAACAAAACTACGTAACTAAAGAAACTGCACACTCATCCGACGCGAATGCACGGAGACGCGGGCGGTGGTGTGTGAGTAAAAATTGGCTCCCGCAGGTGCCGTCTTCCAAATGTTGTCGTCGTCGTCGCTGGCAGGCCACGCACCCCCCGTGGGGGGAGGGAAAAGGCGGGGCCCGCGCGGTCGCCGTGCGGCTTGTCATCGGGACCCTCCGCCCTCCTTTTTTTTTTGTACTTCCTTCGCGCAAGCTGCATGTCGGCATCGACGCTTAGAGTGAAAGAGGGGGAGGAAATAACTAGCAAAGGAGAAAAAAGAAAAACAAAAGATACACGTGTGTATATATGCACATCAAAAAAAAAGGTTTAGAACGTCCACGCAAGAAACGTAGAGAGAAACAACGTGCGAGGCGGAGGAAGGGGAGAAGGCGCCTCAACAGGCAACGACGCCCGCTTGTTCGCCGCACCGCCACCAGCCCGCAGCAGCAGCGGCAGTTGGCTGCAGAAAGGCACCAGAGAAAGCCGGAGAGCCGCAAATGTCCCATGCCGGTGGAAGCAACTCGTCCAAGCGCCGCCGTGCGCAGAAAGTTAAACGGGGAGAAGTTGCGAGGGCAACGGAGGAAGACGAAAGCAGACAAATAAACAAACACGTACAGACACACACAGAGAGAGAGAGAGAGAAGCTTCTGCGTCCTTTTCCGTCTCTTTCCCCCACTTTTTTTTGTTCTTTTGTTGCTGATGCCAGTGCCGCCCCCGCCTCGGCCGTTGCCGTGCAATCGACTGAAGTGCCTCTCATCGCGTTGGCGTCCATCCTTCTCGGGGAGGAGCATGTTGTCATTCTCCTCTTTTTTTTTTCTTTGGCAGCTGTTCCTCTTGTCTTGTCTTGTCTTCTTCTTCTTTTTATTTGCCGCCGCATTTTTTGGATCCCTCTTCTCTTTTTTTTTTTCTCTCTTTGCTTCGTTTTGTTTTGCTTCCGGCCGTTCGATTACTCGCCTGTCTTCGGGGCCTCCTGCCGAGGCGACTTAGTCCCTTCCCTCCCACCCACCCCTTTTGTTGTTGTGTTTCGTTTTCTCCTTTTCCTCCTCCTCCTTCGTTTTCAGATTAAAAACAGAAGGAAGGAGGAAAAAAAAAGGCGTTAAGTCGCGTCGGCGAAGCAGCGCCAGTGGCCCACGTGGGTGCGGCGCACCTGCTGCACGAGCTCCTCCGCCTGGCACCAGAGCATCCGGCTGCGCGGCAGCGGCGCCGTCCCGCCGGCCTCCAGCAGCGCCCGCATGACGGCCTCCGAGCAGCGTGCGACGTTAGACAAGTGATAGCCGCCCTCGAGCGCCACAACAAGACGTGGGCAGAGCGCGGCGAGCGCCCTTGTGAGGATGTAATACCCAGACGGCGACAAACGCATGGAGCCCAGCAAGTCGCCCGCGGCGCTATCGAAGCCGCAGCTAATAAAGACAATATGCGGCGCGTACTCCCGCATGACGGGGGCCACGACGTCCAGCAGCACCTGCACGTACTCCAGGTCACCCATGCCCACGGTGGGCCACGGTATGTTTATGTTTTTCCCACGCGCCTCGACCTGTGTGTCGCCGCCAACGCGCTCGAGGTGCCCCGTGCCGGGGTAAAACTTTTCGTGCGCCGTGGTGTCTACTTCCTCGTCGAAGGAAAACCCCTCCGTGTCTCCGGGAAGGTTCTTCTGTGCGGCAGGGGCGGCGGAGGATGGGGGAGGCGAGTCGCTGCTGCCGCTGCCGCTGCTGTTCACAGAGGAAAACGACGACGACGACGACGGCTTGTTCAGCTCCTCCGGTGCGATGCCGAACATCATCGCGATGGCCGCATCGTCCTCCCCCAAGTCCGCCGCAAGCTTGACGTAGTCGACAGGCTTGCGGCGAGACGCCCTCGTCTCGCCGTCCCCCTCACCCGCCGTTGCTTCATGTTGCTGCTGCTGCTGCTGCCGCCGCTGCTCCTCCTCTCCCTCCAGCGGTTGAGGCCGAGGATCATCGCCTCCTCCAACGGACGCGTTGCCGCCGTTGCTGTTGGCCTCCTCCCCGGTAGTCTCCTCCATCAGCGCGGCCAGCGCACTCAGGTCGATGGTGTCGGTGAAGACGGTGGGGGTCTTGCGCAGCACGTGGCCGCGGCCTGCGCCGTACTGGTGGATCGAAACCACCACCACGGAGGGGTCCTCGTAGAAGATGCTCTCCGTCCCGTCGCAGTGGTGGACGTCCCAGTCGAGCACGAGGGCGCGGGGGGCGGGGGTCCCCCGCTCGCGCAACTCCTGCTGCGCCACCCTGACGGCAGCCCCCACGTTATTGAAAAAGCAGAAACCCGAGGCATTGTTTGCGCCTGCGTGGTGGCCCGGGGGGCGCACAAGCGCAAACGCGTTAGACACCTCCCCACGCACAACACTTCGTGCCGCCGCCATGACGCACCCCGCCGCCGTGCGAGCCGCCTTCGAGGTGTTTGCGTTTGCGTACAGGTCCTGCCCAACGCTGCAGGAGGTCCCCGGACTGCGCAGCAGGGCCGCCAGCTCCAGGTGGTCGACGCTGTCGATGTGGGCCGTGGAGTGCACCAGTCGAAGCTCCTTGGTGCGCGCCACGTGGCGCGGGAGGCGGCGGCAGCACTGCAGCAAACCCACCGCACGCAGGTGCTCCAGCGTCCGCCTGAGTCGCCCAGGACGCTCGTAGTCCGTTGGGTCAGTGGACTCGTGCTGCAGCATCACCTCGTCGTACACGACGCCTGTGCCCGCCACGGCTGGCGCGCCGCGCTCCTCCTCTCGTCTACCCGCCAGCGCCGTGGCGTCATTGCCGTCCCCCGCCGCAGCGCCCAGCGGCGGCGGCCCACGCATCATCACATCGAGAACGGTCGGAAGCGGCGTGACGGGCGGCAGCGACGACGGCGGCGGTGGGGGGCGTGCGCCGGCCGCCTCGGACATCCACCGCCGAATGTACGCGTCAAGGCCCACCTTGCAGGTCGCCGCGACGGCGGGAGACACGCCATTTGCGGGAAGCCTCTTTTCCTTCGCCTTTGCGCCCCGCTTCGCCGTTTCCCGCAAGCGCTTTGGCATCCCTCCCTCCCGCCCCCTCTCCCTCTTGTCTTCTTCCTTGTTGTTGTTGTTGTTGTCCCCCGCTTCCCCCCTGCCCCACTCGCCCCTCGCCACGCGAAACACGTGTGGCAGCAACCGCGCAACACCACAACGACGCCCGGCACGCACGCCAAGGAAGGAAAGCAGGACTAAGCGCAGAAGCAACAAAAGAAAAACAAGGAGGGAAGGACGGCAGGATGGAGAGCGGGCAGGCAAACGGAGCTAAAGCCGTCGCCGCAGCTCAACCGCACGCAGGTTTGCATCTGCGAATCCACCCCGTTCGCAATGCGGCGCACGCCTTCTCCAGATTTTTCACATAAATTCGTCGCAGCTGCCCTTCCGTTAAGCACGAGGAAGACGCAGCCCCCCACTCGCTACTCCGCGGTAGAACGTGAAGCGCCCACCGCCTCCCCCCAAACCCCTCTCTCTTGCCCTCTACCTTTTCCCCCGCGCGACACATTTTTCTCCCCCCTCTCCCTATTAGGTTCTCTCTCTCTCCCCCTCGCGCCTTCACACGCACGCGTGTCCCGCCCGGGAGGGAGGGGACAAAACCAAACTTTTGAATAACTCGCCTGCGCCTCTCTGCCCGAAGCACAAGCCCGGCCGCACCCCCGCCCCGTTGCCCCAATTCCCACGCAGAGTAGAAGGGCGGCGGAGGTGGAGGGGGCAAACGGCTGCGGCCCACGCGCCCACGACCACCAGCACGACCCCAGTGAAGGCTCAAAAGTAGATCGAGCATGCATAACTCAATAGGAAAAATAGACTCGAGATAAGTTTTTTCTTTCTTTACTTCATTTTCTCTTTCTTTTTTTTTTTTCGTCCGCAAAATACTCTCG